CGGGGGGGGGGACGGGGGCCCCTTCGGCTGCAGAAACGCAGGGCTTTGGGTCAGTCTAAATATTTTGCAATGCTGCGAACAGTTCCCTGACTGTTTTGCTCCGGGAGACAAGCAAACAAGCAAACACTTCACAGGAGCTGACACGTTCCCGTGTGCCAGGTTGGCTTTTTTTTTTATGTGCAATAACTTTGTTTTTGAAAATACCATCCCCTTTCCGTAATGTCTTTTTGGTTTTTTTTTTCTCCAAGCAACCTGACAGCGCTTAAAACCAAACTGAAACGTTGAGATTTGGGTCACACAAAACATCATGTTTCTCGAGTTAGATGAAGATAATTCCCCCCCACACACACACTTCACTGCTTGTGCAGGGAGCAGAAACGCCAACCCCCATCTGGCTCTGCCCGTGGAAAATCTCGGGGACCTGGGGATGCCAAAATGTGAGCTGAAGGACGGGCTGGGCTGTTTGCAGGGAGCTGGGCGCTGGTAGATAGGGGAGGGATGGATATATATTCCCTTTTGCAGCACGGAAAAAGAAAACATGTTTGATGTGGAAGTTGGTGCAGGGAAAATAAACATGTCACGTCTCTCGCAGGAGATGCTTTGCAAACCCAGGCTGCTCTTTACCATATTCTCTCCTCTAACAGCCAGGAAAATGACAGCTCTGAAATAGAGTGCCAGATGTGCTGAGCAGTTTGGCACTGAAAAAAGCATCTAGGCATAGAGGGTGGCATTTGACGGGCTCTCCAGCCAACTTTGGGGTCCCTCGTGCGTGGGGTGAGCCGAAATCCCAGCTGCCCCGACCCAGGTGCTCCCACCCATCCTTCTGCTTCAGCCGTGGCTTCGAAGTTTCGGCAGAGGTGCGTGGATCCCCTGTGTTTCTTTAGGAAAAGGGTTGTAAAATACAGTGGAGATGATTGCTTTTCTTGGTGGTGGTCTGATTTCCTTCTTCCCCGAGAAGGCTAGAAACACCCGTGGCTTTTCCAAAGGGAGCATGAACTCCTTTGCTAGGAAATATCAGGGAGAAACGTCTCCATCCAGTAGCTGATGCCACATCTGCTGCCCGCCAGGTACCTGCACCCCATCCGCAGGAGATGTCCAGCCCACTCCCCAGAGGTCCTTGGGCCTTCTAGCTAAAGAGGCATCAGCAGAAAGCAAAGAGCTTCGAGTGAGCCTGAGTTAAGAGGTGCCCCCTTGCTCGCGGGAGTGTTTTAGCAGTGTTGTGCCCTCCCCAAGCACCCGTGGCCGTGCTGGCGGGGTGAGAGGCAGGGCAGCGCCTGGAGCTGCCGGCTGCAGCAGGGGTGGGATGCCATGCCCCCCAGCTGGGTCCTAGGCACAGAGATTGCGCTGGAGCTGCTGAGTGTTCATACGTTCGGGATGAAGGCGTTAGCCGTGCTGATAAACATGCCGCCTTCATCCAGGTGCCTCGTACCTCGAGCTGCTGAAAGCAAAGCTCTTCAAGGTGGAAGTGCTGATCCTGGGGCTGGGGACGCCGAGTCTGAGAAGCAAAATCCTAGTGAGTTATCCTCCCAAAGCCTTGCTAAGTCTTTCTCTCCAACCACAAAGCCTTTCCTGGAAGAAGGGCAAGGGGATGAGAGACGCTATCTGCTTGTGAAGCGGCTGAAGGAGGCTGTGGGAAATTGCTCTGGAGAATGGTGGAGCTAATGCAGCGTGCTAAATCACTGCCTTTCCTGCTGGCAGAAGCTATGTGATGTACATGAGGATTTAATTTGCATGGCGTTGTTTTGGGAACGGTCCTTTTCGAGGAGCAGCACAAAAGGAGCCGTGTGGGTCCGGGGGTTTCCAGCCCCTCTCAGCCAGAGGCAAGCCTCATCTCGTCTGCATTTGGAGAGAGCCCGTACACCGGAGGGATGTTTGGAGACCTTGTGCAGGCTCTCCTGGGGCTGCATTGCAAACCGCAGCATGGACAGTCCTGCTCCAAACCGCTGCAACCCTTGTCCATGCAAATCGTTGCAGTAGGGATGGGTCCCACGTGCCGGACACGGGCGTGCGGGCAGCAGAGATGCTCTGGTGGTTTTTGGCTAGCTGCAGCTTCAGCGTGACCAGAGGAACAGAAACCAGCCTGCAAAATCCACGTGTGGGCACAGCCCCAAGAAGCTGTATGGACCCGGTGGTTTCCAGATGTCCCAGCTGAATGTGGCGTCCAGCAGCTGCAGGACTTCCCCTACCCGAGGGTTGTAAAGCGCCTGGGACCAGGACTGCCTGCAAACAGGGGATTTTCCTTCTCTTTTTCCTCTGCTAACCCAGATACGCAAGCAAGATGCCGCAAGGACGTGTCTGCCATGGATTCCCAAATCCTGGGGAATACCCTAAGCCATGCATCCCACGTGCAGCCGGTGTGCACAAAGCCCTTCCCTGCCCGATTCTGTGGTACCCCCCCCACCCGTTCCCATCCTCTTTCCATGGCTCTCCCTTCACTCCGACTCACTCGCAGAAAGGAGACAAAAAAGGGATTAAGGGCACTTCATTTCTCTAAGAGCAAGTTTTCTGGTGTGCTGGTTTGGGGTTTGGTCACCCGCGGTACAACCCGTTGGATTTTGGCCTGTCTCTCACGGCAAAGGCGGCTTTCTGCCGCCGCACAGAAAGACTTTTCCAACGTGAGAGGTGATTAAAAATAGATGGGGTGGCACCTTTGCCCTCTATAATTAATTTGATGTTCTCCTTTAGGCTTTATTAAGTAGCCGGGCCAGCGCGGTTGGGCAGGTGTTACCTTCCTTCTCCTCCTTCTTAATCCTCCATTAAATAAGTTATCACCTTGGGGTACTCCTGACACCTCCAGGTTTCCCGTGAGCAGATACTTTTACCTCATTAACTTTCCCGAGCTGCTTCACTTCACAAGAAATACTTTTTTTTCCCCCCATTGTGTTGCATTTACTTTTAAAGGCATAAAAATAACCTCTTGCCGACCACGTGGGGATGAGCAGAGCTGCGGGTCAGGGATGGGGATGTGCGTGGAGCCGGGATGCTCAAGTTTAGAAACCTCTTGATCCTTGAGCCCAGAGGTTCACTTGATGCTGTTCCAGCGAGGAGAGAAAAAGAAAGAGGAGGGCGTAGGAAACCGGTCCCTTTTGTTAAATAGGCGCAATTCCAGTGAGGCACCAAACGGTCTCCTCAAATCACCCATCATTGTTATCTGGGATAATCTCACCAGAGGAGGAAGCCAGCAGGAGGCTTGGTGAAGTCTCTGACAAGGAGAGGAAAGCAGAATTTATTTTCTTACCTTTAATATTGTAAGTGAAGCTCTGGAGACTCTCACAGGTCCTGGGGCCTCGGATGACCCCATGAGATTTAAAGGATTTGGGGGCGCGGGATGCCACGCAGCAGGAAATCCAGGACCCTCAGCTTCAATTTGGGGAGCAGCTGGAGAGGTGCTTTGGGGGGTGGCAAAGGGGGGCTCTGCCCCACGAGCCGTGTCCCAGCGCTGCCAGGGCTGGGGACACCAGGGAGGCGAAAGGGAACTTGGACTCATCCAGCTGCAGACATTGTCCCCGAGCGCTGTCCCAGGAGAAGAAGGGCTCAGGGGGTGCCCAAAAGAAGACCTCAAAGCTCATGGGGCCGGCTTGAAAACACAGAGGGGTCCTG